TTACTACCCAGGTATATTAATATAATAATAAGTAAGACTAGTATGTATTTTGAATTTTATAGTAATGATATATCCTGTCACTAATACTATCCCCCTTCTAGTAAAATACCCTCTGGGTATTAATCAATTTATTAGAAGGTAAATTGATTAATACCTGAGGTATTGTATACAGTGGTATATGGTAGTATTTTTGAAAGCGACAAAAATGCTAGATATAATTTTTCGAACCCAACTTTTAACAATAAATATATAATATAAATCATAGAATCACACCAGAATATTTCCAGTCCACCTTTGAAAATAATTACCCATATACATATATATTATTATTATTATATATAAATATTATTTTTAAAATTATATTTTTAATATAATTTAATATTTATCTATATATAAATTTGTATTTAATTATTATAATATGTGAAATATTATTTTTTTAAAAAAAAATTTATCTTATAATACATAAAAAAATAAAAAAATAATGTTATTTAAAAAATTTTATAATTTTTAATTATATAATATACAATATGATAAAAATAATACATGATACATATTTCTAGATAAATACGATATGATTTATATAAAAAACTAATAACATTAAATACCAAAATTTTTTTAAATTTATTTATATAAAAATAAAGTATTATTAATATAATTTTATTTGAAACAAATTAATCGCAAGCAAAATTTTCGTCAGAAATTGTTATTAAAAAATTTCCATTTAATTGTTCCAACCTGAATTGTAAACTTCTCCGTCAGACGATAAAAAGGTTTTAGATTGTTGTTTGAGTAAATGTATTGTTTGATTTGTTAAACAATAATCAGCATCAGCATCAGCATTGCACCTTGTTAATGTAGTACAAAGCCGTACGACATACGACAAATCTCTTTGTCGTACAGCATACTCTTTAACGCATAATGGACTTCAAGTTTGTAACGAATCCAGATAAGAGAGTTTCGATTCACTATGCAGGGAGGCATGTAATATCACACACACCTTAACTTTTCACTTTAGCTTCAACGAAAAGTAGCATTATGAGTATATCTCATATTTCTTCACAAACACATGCACATATTCCTAGAAGTCTTTCAAAAGAATCAAAAGGGATCACAATGAACAATGCATCTTCGGAAAGCATAAAATCTAATCGTAACATACCGTCTTCACCTTCGATACGTTCTGTGCATCAATTTGCTCATATTCATCAAAAACGTTTATCGAGGACCATACAGCACATTTCGTCCTTTTTGCAAGTTACTGCGAATATAAGTCCGAAACTATCCTTTCCAGTAACAGTAGAAAAAACATACACTGTAGAGAGGCTTGCACGTCAAATTGAGGCAGAATATGCGTTTAAGTTTGGTGGGATCGAAATGGTTGGCCAATATGAACCTCTAGAAGTGGGCTTGCTTTACGATGTTAGCATGGTGGCTTTACGCTTTCGCGATATTATTGGAGACGTGTTGGAACATGGCGACATTGTTCACGTGTTGAATATCTATGAAGGTGTGTTATATATTCATTAAGGATTTGCGCCATACATCTGATTAGCTAAAATAAAAAGGGGATGATTAACGGTAGATTTTTTGATTTAAGATCCAAAAAAATTTTTCATTACTAATGATTTCCATTACAAATGTGTTTGTTAGATTGTTATCCTAAAGAAGTCGACGAGTCCTCCGAAATTATAAACTTCTACGATTTTGACAAAGACCTTCCTCCGATCCCTTCGAGCGATGGTATATTACTTCCCACAGAAAAGAGATTCAGTTTACTAATAACTTCTCATCAAGACAATCTGGAACAACCGAGGAGTATTGATCGAACCACTCACCTTGGTAAAACACCTTCTTCGACTTCCGTGGACAAATGGGATCAAAGAGCATCTATAAGTTCATTGGCATCGATCACACAAATACAAAATTTTGTTCAAGCGTCAGAGTCACGTTTCCAAACTGTACTTTCCAACACCTTATCTCTGCATTATTTCCAAAAATTTGCTATAAGGGATTTTTGCGTCGAAAATTTGTTGTTTTGGCTTGACGTAGAACTTTTTGCGGCAGGAGTTTCTTGCGACATAGAAGATAATTATTTTGAACAGCAACAAACTGCTGTTATTCACGCACGTTATATTTACTTGACCTATATAAGTGCGAACGCTCCATTACAGGTTAATCTAAGCGATGAAATTAGGAGAGAAACAACTTGGCCAATTGACGATGATGCAGAAGTTAAGAGAAATATGTTTGATGAAGCACAGGAAGCTGTATATCAACTTATGAAAGGTCATACATTTATTCGATTTGAGGAAAGTCCTGAATGGAAAGAATTTTTAAAAATAAAAGAAAATGGTAAATATCCCATTTCCATGTAATTTAAACAAAGAATCGAATGCTGATCGTCAGATTTTATTTATTCTAGATCCTGAAGCATATAAACGACATGAAATGACTGAAACTTTAGAAAAATATTTCCGTCCAAATATGTCTTTGATGTTGGCTGTCACTATGAACCTCGACAACGGTTCTGATCAAACACCAATTTCATACCACTACAAAGAGCAGACTCTCCACTCTATGTTATCTCAATACTTTCCTGAGACAGTCCTTGATCACAAAGGAAAAAAGACAACATCAAAATATAAAGAGAAGTCGTCCGAGTCACTAAGCCTCAGTGGTTACTTCAACTCTGAAAATAGGATGACCAATGCACAAAGAATGAGGCGACTGAAAAAAGAGCGTAAACTTCAATGGATTTTCGGGGCAAAGGTTGGAAGAGTAGAAGATCAGATCGTGGTATTACCCAAGGAATCTTTATATGGAGATTTACTTGAAGAGGATTCGAAAAGCACGTATTCAACCCTTTCCGCAAATCGAAAAGCGACTAAAGATGCCTGGAACCGAAAACGGAAGGTAGACAAGTTAGAATCAATATTTGGTAAAGAGCTGAGAGACTCTCAGACAGCCCAAAACTTGTTCAGGAATAAAACAGTTATTCCGCCATCACCTCAAAAAGTTCCTTCAGATGCTTATAATAATCTTCATATACAGACAGTGAATGAACTGAGTAAAGCTGAAAAAAGAAAGCTAAGAAAAAGTACAAAAAAATTACAGGTTATGTTAGGTGAGACTTTGGATGAAGATACGGTTCGTCAAGCTTTAAGTCCGGTTCAGCAAAATCAGACTCCAATCTCAGCTTCTAATGGCAACGGGCAATATGTGACCAGTGAAAGACGTATAAAAAATAATGGAAATAATTCACTTACTAATCGTAGGGCATCCACAGATTCGACGATTCCACCTCCGTTAAAAG